AAAAAAAAAAAAAAAATTTCATAGATTGAAGGACAGGAATACAGTAGACACACAGATAGACCGATGAATGAGAGAAACTACACAGACAGACAGATTAACAGATAGGCAGACAAGAAACTGAATAGAAATTGCAAAATTGTAAAGCTTCTCACATTTTTCAGGTTCAACTTTGTAAGGACTGTATGTACCAATGCTCAAACCAAACTCGTTTTGTGAGTTTTTCTTCCATTCGTCTGCAAGAAGCTTTGATAATCTCTTGAGGGCAAGCTCCAAAGCACCAAAAATAAGCACCGGAAATGACGTCTGGCCTTTTGACTTGAAGGTCCACTAATAAAATGGATTATAAAATGCTTGCAGGGTATTGTTTAGCTCCTTATAATACACTTAACAAAAATACTCCATTCTGTAATATTGTAAAGTGTAATTCTTATAGACATTATTAGCTACCTTATTTGTCTTGACATGTTTTCCCATTTCAGCCCATTATTTCAGACAATTTTTTTTTTTTGCTAAAAGGTTGTGCATTAGAAAACACATGAATATGGATGCAACTCAAACAAAGGATCCTATTCTCAAAACAAAGGCACATGGTTTGAAATGGGAAACAAGTAAAGTATATTGATAATTGTCTTACCACCGTATGCATTGCTATGCGGCCACCCCAGACAAAAATCGAGACATCATTTACACGCGTGTGATTCAAAAGGCGCCAAAACTTGTCGATTGTTTACAAGTATTATTGATCCACACTCACCAAGCATATCCGGGCCGATCCAAACACGTGTAAATGACGTCAACGTGTTTGATTGACGGCAGTCTGTTGCAAAGTGTACGTCGCGATTTTTGTCTGGGGTGGCTGCGTAGCAATGCAAATGGCGGTAAATTGAGTTCATTGGTTTGTCAGATTTCTTATATCCTTGCCCCTCCACACCCTCCCCCAAGTAGAATTGATATTCACTCAGGGGAGAGAGATGGGGGAAAATATTTTTACCACAAGTATCCCAAATGCACAAGTGCAGAGCCTGAAAATATGAGTGTGTACTTTTTTTTACCAGACTGCTCCCATGCAAAAAAACAATATCTGAGTATCTGTGATCCAATTACCTTGTGCACTACATAGAGATTTACAATCAGCTGATCCTTGTCACCATTATTTACCAAGGACCATGAAAAATGTCCCATTTTTCTTCTATCATTGTATGGTGTTGCCTTATTCACGTCTGAGGCAGCTGGAAATGTTTTGTAAATCATTTTTCCAAATCCTGCAACAAGATCCAATATTATGGTGATCACAATTAATACCTGAAGTATCTATTTAATATATCAAGCCGACAATAAAAAAATTATTTTATGTATTTTATACAGTAGATGAATACAAATATAGAATAGATTAAATATATATAATAATAGATTTATAGATTTAGAGGTAGATCTATTATATTTTTTCAGATGGGAGTCACACCGACGATCCACTACTAACAGTAATCAGATACTCTTTAGAATTGTATCCTAACAGACCCTAACATCCATTCTAAAAATTTGCTATTTTGCTGCCATGAAGGGGGGAGGGGAGGGCCGGGGGTTGCACCCTTGGTCCCACCCTGCCTACATCCCTGTGTATAAATCATATTACACCAGAGGAGGCCATTGATTGCCGATCCCATTTCAAGACAATGTATTGATACTTACTCCCTGGTGGTCTGCTATTCATACAGTCACAAAAACACAAGATAACATCACTGGATAGAATATTCTTGCAACCATCTGCACCTACAAAATCCCATTCATAAAAATCACCATTCATTTCATTTTGAATTTTTTTGATTTTAGTTCCAATTTTAACTTCAATCCATCTACTGTGGGGGGCTTCTGTAAAGCTTTACATAAAGGAAAATGACTGCTCAAATGAAAAAAAAAGAAAATGCTACGAAAAGGAAAATAATTCAAACTAATACCCCAGTCTAGTACTTAATGCCAACATGCAGGTATTGGGGTTTATTAACATCAGTCTATGTGTCATGTGTTCTCTTGAATGTATAAAATTTATATTAAGTATATTTAATTTATTTACTCTACCCTGGTCTCAGAGGTTTTCTCTTGTAGGTTTATCTTCTTTTCTTTGCCAGCTGTGAAGCATGAAAGAAAACCTCTAGGAGCAGGGTACCTTTACTCTCACATGTTATTAAATATAGAGAAGCTATAGTAAAGGGAAGGACAAGCATAGTTTGAGATATAATAATTAATTATATGTCCATGTAAGCAGAAAGATTTATTCAGTCTTATACATTTAGTTAGCATTGGTCTAAAGGAGTCAGACCCTTCTTATCACCTACCCACACCACACTCCTAATACCACACATCCCTTACCCTGTAGTGATACTTCATGTGACATAAGCCTATGTTTAGCCTCATGCACATGCATCTCCTTTCTTCTCTGCCATACATTTTAACACAGGAATCCAAATACTCCAGTTTTGAGTTCTCTGTTGCTCAGGGTTAGAATTGATTTTGTGCAGAATAATTATATACAATTCCAGTGAAGGTCCGAGGAACATTGAACTGTTTGAATTGTTGAAGTTGTGCATTCTTTACTTTACTGTTGGTATTTGTGAAGAATTAGACACTGATTCAAGGCCTGAGTAAATGAGTGCGCCATTAAGAAACATAGCAGGAATTTGGAACTTGAAAATGGACCATCTATTACTAATTCTTGGGTTGGAATAAATACAGTATCAAGTATCCTACATGCACAGGAGGCTATAGCATTTGTTACTTATGTGCCATCTGGAGATTGATTAGTTAGTGACACAAAGCAACTTGTGATAAGCTTTTGTGAAAATGGTTTTGCTGGCAAACATAAAGTGTGGCAGCTATACTCGTTGGACCAGCAATGTAATATTACAAAACTTAAATCATCTTATTTCAATATGCTAATCAAATGACTTACTTTGCTCTTCTGCTAAATTTGTTTTTGGAAGATCAATTTTGTCCATAAACTTCTTCATTGGTTCATAAGTTTCTTCGCGATCCCAGAACTGTCTCATTTCATTTTCTCTCTGTTCTGTCAAGTTTGTCTGTCTCTCGTTTCTCTTTTGCTGTTCAATTTTTATGTTTTCCAAACTCCCCCATTTATCAATTGCAACTCTTTTTACCTCACCTGCTTTAAAAACCTTCATGGGAGCTGAAAACAAAATGAAAATGGGATTTAATTCCTCCACTTTTGGATAATAAAGAATAATTATAAAATAGACAAATTTCGAGTTCCAAATTACAGCTGTGTTCTTTGATTACAGCCTCGTATCAGTGTCTAAAAAGTAAGAATGCACAAGTTCAGCCATGTGTAGTAATAAGCTGTTGCCCAGTTACCATGGTTACCTCCTTGAAAGGGTGTTGTCAGGCATGAACTGTTACTGTCCGGTACCAAACTCCAACTTATCATTTACTCTTTTTTAATGCATTATCATAGTGCAAAAGGAGATACATGTATAAGAGCTAGGTTAACCCTAGCCGGCAAATCAATAATATCTCCTACAGTATACACCCCTTGCAGCATGTCGGAATGCAGCTCAATCTGGGGTACCAAACAATAGGTTCCAATTCTAAGGAGATCGTTGGGATTCTTTTGTTTTGTCCTCGAGATGGAGCTGTTTTGACATCACATGCAGGGGGTCTATACCGAAGATCGAATTGGAATTTTAGAAGTTGACTTTTGTGAGGGGAGGGGAAAACCCTTGCGTTTTGGTCTTCAAAATATTTACAAGGACCTAAGCTAGTAAAGTCTAAGAAAACACGAGAGAAACTCTAATCAAACAGCATATTTGAGCGAGAGGGAAGAATTCCCGGGTATTGACTTGATGCGATGTAGATGTAAATAACTATTAATAACATTATATACATTAATCTTTATTCTTCGATTGCACGTTACATCATCGCGGCCATGTTGGTGCCATTTAACAAAAGATTTCTTATTAGCATCCATTGTAACGGCACTACAATGGGCGCCATGCATGCTTTTGTCTTTTAACTCTCTTTGGGAATGCTTGCAGCCCGCCAATAAGTTAGAGACAAATAGTACTGACCATATGCTTTGCTCAATGGATTATCCTTTAGTTCGTGATCTAAATCCTCTAGGTCTGCATCTACTAAGAGATATTTCCTTTTAGCGGAGGCTTTGCTGAGCTCTTGTTCATCTGATTCTACTGTTTCTTGTTTTGAAATGTCCGCCATATTGACCTTCACCACAGGAACCCCAAGCGTAAAGATACACAAATACAGGCATTATTCATCCGTTCATTCATTTAGCTCATTCAGTTATGTTTTCAATTCCCAATACAGACCACAAGTTATTCACTTGAATAAGATTTTTGTTTTAGTTTTATCCATGTGTCTTCTCATTCTCATGCACAACCGTTAAGCAAAGAAATGATACTCTAGACAATGACACGTGGTCTTATAGAAAACATCGTGTCCAAAGAAACAACAAATTCTATTAACCAAGTCATACTGTAGCCTGCGAATACAGAGTGAGTCGGCTCTATTCGCAGGCAAGGCATACTGCTTTTAGAAAATTACTTTTAGATATTTTTGATGATTTGATTTTATTGTGGGGTCCCTGTGTTGAGTGTAGTCTGGAACTAGGTTACGAAGAACGCCTGGCGTTTGTCTTTTCACGTGGAGCAAAACGTTCAAAAAAGAAAAGTTAGTCATTCCTTTGCCTTAATTTGAAGGTTTTTTTAAAGGTTTATCAAATTATTACGAATACAGACAATGGGCAGAAGAAAAAAGGTACGTTTTTGATCATTTAGACGTTTTTGTTCTTAAATATTTGGATACATACGAGCCCTAAATCACTGAGTTATGTCAGTGTTTTAAACCATTACAACTTGCTGTGATTGACTATTCATGAGCAGAAGAAGACAATAAACCCTCAAGAAGAAGAAAGCATCACAGTCCCTCATACCTTTGTAATGCACAGAGGAGCTGTTGGGAAGTCTGTCATGTGTTTGGAACAGGATTTACGACATTTGATGGAGCCTTACACTGCAACACATTTAAAGGTAATGGTATATGATAAATCAAGCTTGCTCAGTTTGTAACTGATCTAGAGCAAGTAAAAGATAAGGGTCCTGATAAGGGCCATGTTTTGTCATAAAAAATGGCATGACAAGCCCAACATTTGTTCCAGTATTTCCAATAATTTGACCTGTAAGACTCGGTTTAGAAACAGATATAAAAAGTGTATGCGCATGTGTTTTGTGAACACATGATGGTTAAATCTTTATTAGCCATGTTGAACGAGCCCAGTATTTTTAGAATAGAAATGTTGGAGTGATGTTGAGCAAATATTCATTCAAAATCAAACTTGACCCAACATTCATCCAACATAAAAAAATCACATCCCAACATTATCGTTGGCATATATCATGACAAATGGTCCGGACATTTGACCAAACAAATGTTGGCTTTTGGTTGGGCAGTTTTTCAGGGCCTTGCTATACTGATATTTAATGGCCAACATTCTTATATTATAACATCCGTACAGGTCTTGACTTAAATGACTTAAATGACTATGAAACTAAAGTTGACTCATCAACCTTTAAATAATTTTATATTTTCCTTAGCTTTCGACCGACACGGTCATCCTCAGAGGGACTAAAATATGTTAGAAAACTCATTAATAATTCATGAAGAAAACACAATAGAAATCATGACCATGAAGGTGATTTTATATCTGATAAAGATTCGTCTTCATTTGCATAAACTTTAACTTGGATTTTCTCTATCAAACTTGGTTCATTTCGTAAAAAAATCGGTACACAATGAGAACAAACATCATAAGTTTTCTAAGCCGTTCAATAATCTCGCAGATCGTGTTTTATCGGGTCTAAAACCACTCGGCTGCGCCTCGTGTTTTATACCCGATAAAACACCCTCGTGTTTTATACCCGATAAAACACTCCTGCTCGTTTATTAAACATTACTTACAATATTAATAAAAACTATGCGATATTGTAACGTATTTTAGTTCCTCTGAGAATGACTGTGTCGGTCGAAAGCTAAGGAAAATATAAAATTATAAAATATAAAACTAAAATAGGCTACAATATTAATAAAAACTACGCGATATTGTAACGTATTTTAGTTCCTCTGAGGATGACTGTGTCGGTCGAAAGCTAAGGAAAATATAAAATTATCTAAAGGTTGATGAGTCAACTTTAGTTTCATAATATGAATCCAACCTACAAAAACCTTTACGACTGACTTAAATTTCATTTAAGAAGGGTAAACATTAATGTCTTATTATCATTGCAGGTTCGGAAAAACAATGTCCTGAAGGATTTTGTGAATGTTGCTGGACCACTTGGTGTCAGTCATTTCATGATTCTGTCCAAGACTGAGATTGGTACTTACCTGGTACGTACATACATATAAAGGTTATTTACCAGGAAGACGTCTGGTATGTACGGTATATTTATGAAAGGTTATTTACAACACCAGCAAGAAGGTCTGGTTAGGGAAAGACTGTGCACAAGAGTATTAGGCTGAGGTCCATTTTCAATGCCAAGGGCACAGTTTAATTTCCCCTGTACATACCAACTTTGTACTTACAGGTATACAGTACATGTACAGTCATAATAACGATAATAAATTTTCCCATTTAAAGTACTTTTCATTTTCTTTTGAAATTTTTGTTGTTGCTTAGCAACAATCAGAGGATGCCAGACCACACTGACGTCAGAGAAAGAATATCAATGATTATGTATACTGTATTTAAAAAATGTAATATCAGGGTTTGATTTATGAGTTCTGCATTTTACTGATCCATTACCTTCACTTGTTTGACTTCAAAATAACAAATTTAAAAGTAAGGACATTTGCTTCCCATCTCAATTCTTCATAAAGATGATTTTCCCAGTAAATAATTGCCTTTTAGCCTTGTATTCCTTTAAATAGCTAAATGGTTTTCTTTTATGCATTTTCTTAGAGGTTCGTTCGTATTCCTAGAGGACCAACCTTGACTTTCAAGATYCATGAGGTACCTTTATTATTTTTTTGTTAAAATTTATGTATGATCAAACAACTGACAAGTATACAGTATTACAGTATTTAGTATATATGAACTGTGTGGTAACCGGTCTTTTCGAACCAAAGTCTTTTCAATCCAGGTCTTTTCGAACCAGGTCCAGGTCTTTTCGAACCACCTATATACACTTTCGATCCACCTATATAACTAAAGCATATAACACGTCCTATATGCTGTGTACATAGTTGATTTAAAAGAGTATAGTTTAAAAAGTTGTCTTGAGCACTGAATAAAAGATTATGATCAAAAAAGAAATCAAAACTATGCGCGTTGTACTATGAATTTGGCTGGGCATGATGACACATCGATGTCACGGACTTTTTCAAACAAACGCCTTTAACCTGTCTTGAATAGTAGAAAATCGTTTTAAATTCTTGTTTATGGTATCTAATTACTGTGTATAAACATAAAGTGGAAATATCAGTGGCTAAGTTTAGCGTATGAAATGCTAACTGTTTTTGTAATCGATCAAATCGTTTTGGATTGAAATAATTTAGACACTGCGAAATAATGCATTCAAAACGCCATTCAGTTCTGATTGATTAAGCTTATTTATGTGTTTCACATACTTGAATATTAAAGCTTTTTTCTAAAGTTAATCAACATCTAAATCAAAATGAAAACTGTTGACTTCTGAAACTATTTACTAGTTTTTGCAGAAAGATTTGGGCTAACAAGCAAATATTTCTTACATAAATCGGATAGTTTGCCGGTTTCATTGACAAGTTTCATATGTAACACGTCACACAACATCTATTCGTTCGCGTCTTTTACAGACTTTTTTTAACTCATTCGCGATGTTCGCTCCCCTACTTTATTTGTTTGAAAGGTATTTCAAAGCATCTTGAATATAAAAAAGATTTTGAAGAAGATTCAAAAAATCAATAAATAACTCGTTACCAAATAGAAGATTTACCGGTTTCATTGACGAGTCAGTAACAACACACACGCTAATTGTCATACACGCTTCTCACACAACAATAATCATTCGCTTCTAAAGTTTTGGGGTTTCTTCATCCTTCACTTTCACGTAAATGAAGGAGAAAACATCTTTTCTTGGCTAAAGACTTTACGTTGGAAGTGACTATGGGRGCTAACTTATTGACTTCGTAAGCGATACTAACACATATCACACACGATCACACACGATACTTGGTTCACTCAGTTGGATTAATTCACTTCTTCTGTGATATTTCTGTAATATTTCTGAAAGAAAACACTAAACATCTATAAAATATTTCACAACTATATTGGATCGAATGTGTATGTATGTGGATCGAAAGTGTATATAGGTGGTTCAAAAAAAACCTGGACCTGGTTCGAAAAGACCTGGATCGAAAAGACTTTGGTTCGAAAAGACCGGTATTCAACTGTGTTTGTATAATGATTGCATACAATTATTTTGTAATACGCTGTATACTGTGACAAGGGCTTATTAATATACATGAAAGCATTACTAATATCCAATAGTTAAGTATCATAAATTTGATGGTGTTTATTCTTTTGTCACCTTATATTATTTATAATATCAGTTCACTTACAGAACAAAGTGTAAACAAATTTGATCATTACTCAGATTTTGAATTTTTATTTGAAAGTATTCTTTGGCTAAAGATGTCATATCATTACTGAAAAGACCCAAGACTTTTGGCAGTCAGTACAAAAAGCCTCCTTTGGTAAGTCACTATAATAGTATTAACAACTCTTGGACTCGCGCTGGTGTGGGCTTGGCTTGTGGGCGGGGGGATCTGGCGTGATTGAAAGTCACGGATCACACCGGTTCGCTTGGTTCGCGGGTTGGGCCTCACATTAGGGTGGGTGTCGCATTTGGTCTATGGTTGTATTTGATGTAAATCTGATTCAGTGTATGTATGATTTGAGATGAGATTTTTWAAAAAAAAAGAAAAAGAAAAGTATTAACAACTCAGTACTGAAACAATTCTGCAATTAACTAGGCAATTTGAAGTTTCTGTGGTATTGGGACACAATATAGTACCACATCATTCAATATAATTAGTTACATGTTGTGGGAAGGACATGTGTGAGTTAGTGTTTGTAGTGTTATGTACTGTATACACGACCTGTGTACTTGCTGTGCTTACATGCTTAATGTACAAATTTTAAAGTATTTGGCATAGCAATGACACATCCTACTGCAGTTTTATTATGTTCACTGGTACACTGTAGTTCTCCTGTCGAGATATTGATAAGAGCTACAATGTACATGCAGCTGTAAGTTCACATGTAGTGTACATGTAGAATGGTTAAGCAGCAAACCAACCCTTTTATTTATACCCACACTTGGAAATCGTACAAAAATATTTTACTACTAAGTATTTATAATTCCTTTATGTCATTTGTTCCCTTACAGCTTGTACTTAATGGCTTCAATACAGATACTCTACCAATGAAGCTCATGACCACAATGTTTCAGAATCTTTTTCCATCTATCAATATTCAGAAGGTTTGTAAACATGTTGCACCTAAATTTTATTCAGTGAATGCATTGCTTCATAAAATCATGATACATAAATATATTGTCACCCTGTTAGTTCAGTTGGTAAGATTTGTCTGTCTGTTGTAAGGAAGGCTGTGGTTCAGGCCTCACCTGACCAACAATCAGGGTTCTAAAATAACTGAAAATAAGGTGCTGCCTTTGTAATAAAATCTTCAAATGGTTAGACCTTCACACGTGGAGCTTGGATTAACCATGTTAATGGTGGTCACATCCCCATCAACTACAACTGTAGAGACATTAAGAGGACTACAAATTTATCAGTTGAAGTACTGTCAAGTGCCATCTTTTATATAAACAAAGTAAAAGGTTAAGTTAATAATTCAATTTATTTAGTTCACATCATATTTCAAATCCTTAAACACTTTAGGTTCGCCTTGGTGACATAAGAAGATGCGTTCTTTTAAACTATAACAAAGAGACAAAACTTATCGACTTCAGACATTAGTAAGTATGATGAAGAGTGATGCATTCTTTGGTCTCACAGTATTGCATATTCATGGAAGTTTTTAGAAGCTCGGTTAGGAGAATGTTTTCAGCACATTGCAGGCATGCATTGCACAGAATGTAAAAAATATGTTGTAGTAATATCTGACTGTCTTCCCATTTCACGTCCCTTCCCTTGATTGGATATCTTTTGGTAACCATTAATATATTAATTATTAGCTCTACTGTAGATACATTAAACATCCGTTATTACTTGATTGAATAATTCCAATACTCAAAGGAATGAGACATAATTTTATATGTTGGTTTGTGGGAGTTCTTTAGTTGCAAGCTGGCTGCTTGCATGATTGGCAATAGCATGACCAAAAGGCACAGTCGTCGGCATGCATCTAAACGTAAATAATTGACTAAAAGGTGTTTTAAATGGTTTTGTCGACAAGTGAACACTAAATATCTCAACAACAACATATTCGTTATTGACAAGAATAATGATAAGAAAAAAAGTTAGTCTACGCTATTCTTGCATCTTGGAATGACCTACTGTGGTCGTACTTGTATCTCCTATCACTTATTGCCTTCATCACTTGATATGTATTACCTATCACTGTTCGCCCCTTCAACCTTTAAAAAGTTGTAGGAATTAACATTACAGATTTTTACAGTATGATACAGTATACTATGTTAAAATCACTTGGTTATTTTTTTTTTAATCAGTAACATACGAGTTGTACCTGTTGGAATGAGCCGAGGGGTAAAAAAACTCATTCAGACGAAAATTCCCAATTTGTCTAAACTAGATGATATTAGTGATTATGTACTGGGGTGAGTATAATTATCATAGCTTATTGTACTGAGATACAGTACATGTATATCTGAGGGAAAGAGTTTTGTTTTCCTCACAGTCTTTGGTTTGATAACTTTGATTTCTGGATTCAGCATCTAATGTTATACCCACCTTGATTCAAAAGTTTTTTTCCAGTTTTTTTTTCAAGTTTCATTCCTTCCTCCACAAAACCTGGTATAAAATATTAAATTCCATCCTACAGCATCCATGCATACATGTTCTGACGTTTATCAGCTTGAGGTTGTTTCAGGGTCAGCCATGCCCTGGCTGTTGTGTACTAGACAGTTTTACTTGATTTTTTCTATCATTCTGTCATGTAATTAACTTTTTTTGTCAATACCTTTTCAGAGGTGGTTGTGGATATGGTTCAGAGAGTGAAGGAGAGGATCCAATGGAAAGTAATGTTACTCTACCTCAAAGTGTACCAGGAAGAGGAAACATTAAATCCCAAAAAAGTGCCATAAGATTGACCGAAGTAAGTGAAAAATGAAATGAAATAACAAAAAACCTTAATTTATTGAACTGTTCATTTTCATCGAGGGTAGCGAGATTGCTTTGAAACCAGTACATTAAGATACTGTATCTGACCCTCCCTCTCTGTTATTGGATTAAAAAATATTGCCCCTCCCTTGCTTTCCATTCTAACTTTTATTATAAAATTGCTATGCTACAAAATGTACTTGGAATTTATTTTGTGTACCCTCTCTCCTCTTGAGCTTGATTTTTTATTGACTGCCTCAAATCCCACCGCCCCCCCCCCCCCCTCCCACAATCCCCAGTAAAAAAATGAATGGTCCCAAGAGAAGGTCACACGTGACAGTCATATGGGAACTGATAAACATATGCTCCTCTACAGGGTTTAAAGTCCTCTAAAAAAAGGGTACAGCCATTTTTAGAGCAAAGACAGTACCTGTGAAATATATTCACGGACAAACTTTCATTTTTTTAAACACTTCAAGTGCTGGTTGGGCCATGGGGCTAGAACCTGGAACTCCTTATCAACTTAGCCAATAGGCTGTTTGTATGATGGCCTCATCTTTATACTCTACCACTACCAAAAGACCTAGCAAATTTTCTTTCTTATTCAAATTGTGTTATTCCTCATGAGAATAGTAAGACAATGAGTGCTAATTAACTGAACAAAAGAAAGTGTGCAAGGGATTCTGGTAGTGGTAGTAAATGATGCTATTAATAATGCAGCTGACCTATTGGTTGATGGTTGAATGAATGAAAAAAATTAAAAAGAATTACAGTTCACATATGTCCAGGAAATAGCCAACTTTCAATATTTCTGGCTGAGTGATTAAACACAAAGCAATGTGAGTTGAGGCTCCATTGATACAAAAGATTAATTATGATTACATTATTGTTTCCCTGAAGCTTTGACTTTGATTTTCTTGTGCTTGACCATTCAACCAGAATATTAAAAGTTGGATATTCCTGGTTTAGGCTGTCTTGTATAGATACATGATTGTAATTTTTTTATTAAGGTTAATCTGTGTTTGTTATCATGCATAGTTGGGTCCTCGTATGGTTATTCAGTTGGTAAAGATTGAAGATGGACTCTGCAATGGTGAAGTTCTACACCATGAGTTTAGTAAGTCTTGTAACAATAACTAAGCCCTATACTTAACCTTGGGCATAATGTTTTCTTATTTCAGACTTTAGTTTCATTCTCTTGAGAATAAGATCCTTTATTTGAGTTACATTGCATGTAACATTACATGAGCGGTCATTTTTTGTTGGGTTCATCAAGCCACTATATAGGTAATAAGTGTGAATTGAATGACCGCTCACCAACAGGATTGGCTTCATAGCTCAGTTGGTAAAGCATGATGCACTGGCATCGCGGAGGTCATGGGTTTGATTCCCGTTGAAGCCTGAAATCATTTTTTCAGGTCTTTCTTTGCAGCGTTCGCTTAGATTGCCTATTCACTGTGATGATCAACACTCTAACAAACTACTAAGTTCTTACATGCTGTTTTTACTGTAATTGCATATGTGTCTCAAAGCCAGAGAAATCAGTAAACCAACATCATCTCTCATATATTTACTTAATCCTGTATAATTGTTATCTTTTATTTAATAATTTGTAGTTTCTAAAAGTGAAGCTGAAAAAAGAGCTTTGGAAGAAAAGAGAGAAAAGAAAAGGTAGGAGATTTAATGTTTCTTTTTTGTACATAATTTTTTTTACTTAGTAGTACAGTATTTGTTATTTTCCTCTAGAAAATTAAAAGAAATGAGAAAGAAAACACAAGAAGAAAATGTGAAAAGAAAGGAAAAAGAAAAGGAGTTGAACAAGTAAGTACAACATACAGTGTACGTCAGCCAATTGTGCAAGGAGTGATAAATTGTTTACTCTCATGAACCAGAGGCTCATGACTGAAATACCTCAACCAAAAATTTGATTGAATATTACGTCTTTCAAGTCCAAATTGCTGCTGTGCTTCTTGATTACAGACTCATTTACTCAGGCTTATCCTTGTATCACTGTCAAATATTTAAAAAATACCTGGAAGCTTTGAAATTCAACAGGTCCTCACTGGAACACATGAATATTCTACACAAAGTCGAGGCTAACCCTGAGCAACAGACTTTAAAAATAAAAACTTGAGTTTTTCTGAGTTGATTTTTTGATGCTTGAAAACCAGAGGGCTATGAGAAAAAACCTTGAAAAAACCCATGTCATTGTGGCCATGTTGGAGCCATTTGACAAAATATTTCTTTCCAGGGGCAGGGTGTGAAAAAAATCTCTGTGGGGGTATGAATAATTTCTGGAACAACACAGTCATACTCAAGAACACAGTTGTGAGATGCATTGCATAGCAGCGCTCACCATCCTTACTTACTGTACCTTCTTACACATGAACACTGAAGTTGCTGTTGATGTGATAATGTGAAAGTCTATTTGGGTATATTAGATTTTTACTAAAATATGTTATGATTGATATCACAGAGAGCGCAGCATAGCAGGACAAAAACGAAAACAAGCTTCAAAAGAAGGTTAATGAATCAGTTTTAGTATATTTATGAGAATGATAAGAATTTTCCCATTAACCCATCATTTCCTCTGATCTTCCGGTTTTCCTATCCTTAGTAAAAAACATTTAGTTTTTTTTAAAATTTAATTGGTGCACATCGTATATTGACTCTTTTTGGATAATATTTCTTTACCCTCTTTAAAATTGTGACTTTGTTTCTCACATTTCTGTTCAGTGGTCTACACTGTAAATTTAAATAATGAAAAAACACAATGATGCATTGTATGATTACCTTCATGTGCAAATTGCCCATTTCATACCTCATGACCTTCCCCTGAGAATTGTTCTTTTATGATGAAAATGTTAAAATATTTACACATGAAAGAATCAACTCCCAAGAGTGGCATCACATGGTCTGAAATGTGCACGACAAACAACAAAGCTAAAAAGATCTATTCATTTGGGCAACCACGAAAATTAATAGCTCCAAGTCAAAGTTGGACTTGATGTGTTCACACACATCATGGATTTGGAGCTATTAATAATTGTGATACAAGCAAATTCAGAAAAACTATATTAATGAATTTAATGTTGCTGTCCTCACAGGTGCAACAGATCCCACACTGAGTGATGATGAAGATGCCAATAAAAGTGATGATGACAGCAATGAAGAAGATGACGATACTTACTGGTATCGATATGAAGTTGGAAAAGACCCGGATCCAGGTCAGAAAATTTATAATAACTGACTACTTTAGATTTAAAGCCTTGAGTACTGTATGAGCCATTCTGATGTAGAGGAAAGAACTGGATTGAGTTGACATTGCAGTGCATTGTGGGATTGTTAAGGGGACATATTTCCCTGATGGTAACATTTTGCCCTCAAAAACATTCAATTATAATGCACTGTAATGCCAACCCTACCCAGTTTTTTCTTAACCTTCAAACGGCTAACTTTGCGCCAGCAGACCTAAACCAACAAACATTTGACCCCTGTAACTTGAATAGGCCATTTGCATGATGATCTCATTTTACCAAAACCACCAAAATGCTTGGAGAATTTTCTTTTTTTCAAATTTGTGTTCCCTTGAGAAGGTAAGACAATTGCTGCTCTTAACTGAACAAAAGAAAGTGTTCAAGGGAATCTGGTAGTGCTAGTAAATGACGTCATCATGCAAAAGTCCTATAAGAATTTTGAAGATTTGATTTTACAAAGGGAGGAAAAAACGCCCCTTCGACATGAGTTTGCAGGTCTGAGGATTGCACCAACGACCCCAGCAGCAGCGCACACCACGCATCTGCTTTATTTATTTTCATATCCAAATATGCCTTGTATGGGCTCCCTGTGGCCAGGCCTGATTTTAATTTAACGCTTGTCATTTTCTCCAGATCTCATCCTGACCAATAAGAGCAAAGTATCGAAAACATCAACCAAACGAAAAATGAAAAGAAAATCCGACGACAAAAGTGAGGCTGTCACGAAAAAGAAGCCCAGGAAAGATAAGAACGCTAATGAAATTGAAAGAAAAGAAAAGAAAATAAGAAAAACGGGAAAAGCAAATTTTATGAGTAAGAAACCCCTTAAGACTTCTGTAAAGGGTAAGTTCAAAAGGAAGAGAAGATAACTCGATGTGAATTATTTAAGAAAGTTCATCAACAACGAAAGTAAACAAGCCATACTTTCCGTTAACATGGTTGAGTTTAGAACTTATTTAAGCCAATTTCGTATTTTTTCCTCAATAGTTTAAAGGGGCACTTGGATGAAAATGGATAAAAATTGGAAATGACTTTAAACTTACTTAAACCTATCTATATGGCCCCAATAGTAGCCAAGCAACATATTTTCTTAACAGTAAAATGTAGCGGATAAAAATTATCAGTTTTATTCAGCATCTAAATTTGGAGTAAATAACGTCATTTACTCAACCCTATTGTTCTTTCTGCTTTTGGACCAAAATATCTCAATAGCAAGTGGCTCCCAGGCTAAAATGTTCACTAATCTGGTTTACATTATCATAATTGAGTCATATTATACTCATATACTTCAATTATTCGGACTTTCAAAAATTGGGGCGTTTTCATCCAAGTGCCCCTTTAAATAATTCTTATTACACACGGGTATTTCACTATAATCGACATTTATCTTTCATATGCCTATCATAGGAGTTTTTAAAAACGCAATAATATATTAGTGTTATCATTACTCTTCCATTTTAGTCTAAATAAACCAACATCTTACCTTTGTCACGGGCCGAAATCAATCACTCTACTCGTTTTGAATCCTTGTATTTACTTTTTGTGTTTTCCTGAATAAATACTGCAGTTTTCATATCATTGTCAGTAGTGCATTCGTAATATCTCAATCTCCAGTCATAATAAAATTTGTCAAGTGAAATCAATACATTTAATGAAACTATTTGACACGGGCAGTCCTTGCCTACCCTCCCTACCCTACACACCCAAAAATTAGACAAAATTAAAAAATAATTCTTGCAAAAAGTGTGTGTGTGGGGGGGGGGGGGGGGGGGGGGGGGGGGGAGGGGGGGGGTGCAAAGACCCCCGTCTCCGCCGTCCCTGTTTCTCTGGGTGTTCTTCTGATGGGACTCGTCGTACAACCGCTGCTTGTTGCTTTTGGAGTCTTCACCATAAGGAATTGTTGGCGTCTATGTGAGCTTACCATTGCCTTCGCAATATCTTCAATAACAATATTTACTTTCTTGTGGATGGACAGCTGTTACCATGATGATTATCAGCCTGGAAAGATGTTCTTTTACATAGAACATCCTCTGTTCTATCAGACTTCAGTCGCCCCCAAGAAACTGATGATAGCATCGGCAGCTTGCTTGGTTCTGGTTGGGATAGCATTCTTACCGAATAGATTCCTGACAAACGACACCTTCTAAATGTTAGAAAACTTCCTGGGATTCTAACCTTTGGTCCTAGCTTCGTCATCATTTTATTTTGCGTCACTCAAATACACCTCACGGCCCGTCGACAGTTGAGAGCCATCGTCGCCCAGCAACAATCTGTAGCGCAGTAAAGTAAGATCAAGGAATACAAGCGCACTCTAGGCTTGATAGTGCTAGCATCCGTGGCGTGTCTGTGTCCATTATTGGTTTTGAAGATCGTAGGAGCTGTGAAGGGCAACTTCAATGACGACATCAGTTATACATCGCAAGCTATTTATTTCACCATCTTGCACTTGCAGTCGATTATCAACCCCATCATCTATTCCCTTCGTCTATCGGACATCCGCACTGGGGTGGCTAAAAGACTCTGTTGCAATCGCCAATGAATGAAATCAAAAACTATATCTTATGTTTTGAAGAGCAAAATTAAGTCGAGTATCCAAGACTCGGTTAACTACCATATCGTTGCCCAGCAACGATCTTTAGCACAGCAAAGAAAGATCAAGGCCTTCCGGCCCAAAATGAATGCTCCTTATAGATATTTTACATGTCTTGCTATCGTACATATATAATTAGCTTCTTTTTGATTTTCTTTTCTTCTATTATTGAATAATTTGTATTTTGATTGAGTTATATTTTTGAAGGATAAAACTGAATTGTTTGAAAAGTTGAAAAATGAAAAGTTTTTCCTGCCATCCTGGAAGGAGGAAGAACGACTAGTTTCCAGGCTACCCCCGGGAGTCATATTATGAGGAGGCTTTGGGTACGAGAATGTAGGAAGTCCGTGCTACTACAAATTGGGCTCCCTGTGCCTTATGAAACATCTAGAATTTCGTGAAATCCTTACAAACTGTACTTTTTAAAATACCACTAGGAAAAAACTCTTGGGAATTTTCATTTTTATTTTATTCATTTTTTTAAAATTTGTTTTTGCGTCGATAAATATCTTTAGATTTTTGTAGAAAAATGCCTTAGATTTGATGACTAGAGCGCGCACTCTATACATGACGTCAGGGTTTGGTTCGACGTCATAATTGTATTTTGGACGTAATAAGCAAGTATCTCCGCTGTCAAAGTCAGTTTAGTTGAACAAGTCGCGGAGTAAACATGATTGAAGTTATTAATTCAAAATTAGGAAAGATTAGTCTAACAGCACTCGCTGCCGTTGGTGCAGGTGTCATAACTATCAAACTGTACTACCCTAAGTATGATCTCTTTAAAATACATCGTATTCCTTTCTTCAAAAAAGGTAAGTAAAYGAACTCGTACACTTTCTTGGATGTAATAAGATATGTTACCCTTTGGCTAAAGAATATTGTCAGCAGTCTTGTATTATCCCTCCAAAAATAAACAATAAAATAGAGCGTCTTTCTTCTTGGTACTTTTTCTGTCGTCCGTTTTCGTGATTTCGAAATAAAGGGGAAAAAAGGAAAAAAATTACAGATCATTTTGTTAACATAGATGATGACAGATGACTTACTCCACCTCCCCCCACCCCAACTGTTTAAATACATAATTTTTAAAGATATTTATAAAGGGGGAACAAATGTTTTTTCTTTCTATTATTTTATTTTTCACTTTTTTTTATTATCACGGTGGCTTTCAATCATCTGAAGCCATATCTATTATGGCAGTGCGCTTCGAACTTCGAAGAGCAATCTTATTTTTTTAAGAGTCGTATAACGAGGAAACAAAATAGTTTTATTACTTTATATTAATGGGTTTTTTTAAATTAATTTTTATGTGAAATATTGTGTATTACACGTACTGGCTTTCAGTCATCAGAAGCCATATCTACGTCAGTGCGCCTCGAGTTGACGAGCAATTTTATTGGACGAAATGCCTTCAAAAGTGACAGCTTTGCCATTGAATATTTTGCCCGGTAGTTTGATTGGACAAAAAGATACTCGGGATTTTTGACTTTACAGAGTCGAAGAATTTGAAAATTCTTGAATTATTAAGCACTCATTATTAAGGCAAAGGAGGATTTAGGTTTAGTAAGACTTCGAAGCGATGTTTAAAGAACAAATACAGCTATTTTGGGAAATGAAAATGTCTGAAACACATCAAAAATGGACTCGAAAAACCGTGATTGGCAAAAAACGTTCAACATTGGGATTCTTGGTACAAAAGTAAGTTTAATAGTTAGCTCTATTTCTCTTTATTAATGTATAATAAACTCGTCTTTTTTGCAATTCATTTTTTTCTTTTATAATAACGAAGATATGTCGTCTTTGCATTTTGGTTGATTTTTCAAATAAGACAAAACTTGACGAAACTTTGGTGCATGCTAGCCGTAGATTTTAGGTTCACTTTTATTTTACAAGCTTACTTCAATATGAAAGAAAAAACCCCAAATTTTGTCAAAATCTAACAATCAGGTAAAAGAAAAACCGTTTTTATTAGGATATTGTTCACATTTAACACAATATACTCTTAACTAAGTAAAGTTTGAAAGAAATAAAAAGGCAAAAACAAGATTTTCATGTCCAAAAATATTTCAATATGAAAAAAAGAAACCCCAAACTTTGTAATAATCTAACGATAAGTTAAAAGAAAAAAACCGTTTTTACTTGGATATTATTCACATTTAATACAATATACTCTTAACCAATTACAGTTTGAAAGAAATAAAGAGGCAAAAACAAGATTTACATATTGAACAAAAACCAATAACGAGCTGCTTCTTTTTCAAGCTTTTCAAGATTTTTTGAACAAACTTCTGTTCAGGAAAATATGCGGTACTAGATTGTTTTTTTCGCTTTATAAGGCAATGAGAGCGTCCTGATGGAATTATTTTAAAATAAATTTTATTCTGAGTGATGTTCGAGTGCCGTTAGAAATATAAAAAGAAATGTAGAGATTTCGTGTGTGTGTTTTTATTTTATTGATTTATTATGAGACATTCACATTCACATCCACATCCACATTCACATCCATTTATTGATAATTTATTTATTTATTTAACTTTCTTATTTCGACAATTCTTTGTTTTTATTCCCATATTAGAAAATCTTCTAATAAAGGAAAACGAAGACAATGTTAACATCAAAGCACTAGCAGGTCTGTGCAACTAATTATTTTTCTATTTCTATGAGTCAGTTTAGTTTTTTCTTTTATTCATCCATTCAGGCAAGCAGATAGGCAGGCATTTGATCTACTAATTTAATTTAATTTTTTCCCCTCTCCTACCCCCTTAACTCCTTTTCGCCTAGAAAAATCTGGTAGCACTCAGATACCACAACTTACTAAGAATTTAGAAATTTGACTATTTCTTTATAATCTTTTCCATATCCATCTAGATCTTGAATGGTCCAGCTGTGGCCAAAGCCAATATCCTGGTTCAATCTACAGGACACATTTCTCCTCAATCCCCTGCCTGTTGTGGATTTTCCCTGGTGGTCTTCCCTTAGGACTTCTTATAGTAACACCGATCAAATGGTAAGTATTTAAAGTGACTATTATATTTTACCAGATTGTAGAATCATTTTACAGATTAATGTAACGTTTAATGTGTTTTTAATGTGTCGTTTAGACCCTTTTAAACGCGCACATTGTAAAACTAACCCTTAAAAAAACTTACCAAAAAGCCAGAAGTCAATTTTGAAGTTGAAATTCCTCAACTACACACAGGTTTTTGAGATAATACTGATCCTTAAATGGAATTGTCTCAGGGTTTGGGGATGTGCTTGAGTACCCCAGATATAAACAAAATACCTGTCAAAATCTCCAGTTCTCTAGAAAACGTCCAAAACAAGCTGCAACATGTAGCTTTTGCACTAGAAAAAAAAAACGTCTTTCTTTTCCCCCAACAACTACTAATAACTCTATATCAAATTTCTTTAAGGCTTCAAAGCTTCAAAACAAAGTCATTGAAAAATGGTACAACTGAAATACAGGAAGAAAGAACAAAACCAGATGAAAAAGTAAATGACTCAAGAACGGATGAGGAATCACTCGTTCAGGAAAAATCAGTGTCCCAACAAGAAGTTGAGGACAACACTGTAAAGGAATCATTCCTCCAACAAACATCAGTATCACAAAAAGAGGTAGAGGACATCACTGTAGAGGAATCATTCATCCAGCAAACACCATTGTCACACCAAGTAGTGGAGGACATCGCTGTAG